ATATGCAATTTAAACTCATTTTCATACAAGTGGTTGAGCACCAGGCCTCGTTTTGAAAAAGAGGCCAGAGGTAATTCAGAAATGGCCAATTTCTCCTTACAAATCACCCCTGGATCAAACATAGAGGACATGAGAATAGAGTAAATGATCACCAATTGAAGAAGCTCTTGATTGTTATACAAATTCTCCTTGTAAGCACCTAAGGAAATGTATAGAGAACAGTATAGAGAACATGAATATTGATCTTAGGGTGTAAAGGGTTAATATGGAGAATGTGCTAAATATAAATGTACCATCAATATCATCATCATTACGGTCACACCTAAGTTATTGTTTGGAAAACAGATGATACCTAGCAAAACCAGAAATAAGATGAAGATCATCAAATGGATGAAGAAAGTGCATTCCATCTTCAGCAACATGAAGATCAACAGCATCTTGTATTTCGCTTGTGGGCATTCTTTCCACTTTCACACCGAAACTCTGTAAATCAGCATGAAAAATTTACCTTCAGTAGGTTTTCCTTGCTTTTTTGTATATATCTGCAATATTTAACAACTGTTCATCAAAGTAAAGGTGTTAATAACTGGATATTTACCAAGCTGCAAAGTAGCAAGGTAAATATCCACCAGTGGCCTGCGCCGATACTGAGGTGAACAGTTGTTTTTAGTATAATTATGGTACCTGATAAGTTTGAGTAATCTCATTACCTGTTTGATTGTAGGGAGAAGTTACAAGTTAATCACTTCTGTGAGTTAAAGGGTTAAATTTGTACCTCAATAAGTTTTGCTCTATTAATGGGAGCAGTTTCAGGCATACACAGAATTGCTGGAAGGTTTTGTTCCTTTGTCGCCAAAGCAAATGCCTTTCCATAATTTCCAGCAGACATCGAAACAAGACTTTTCTTATTCTCGGTGATCACAGAGGGGATGTTGGCAAACTGGTTCACAACACCACGTATTTTAAATGATCCTGTAACAAATTAAGTAAACATTACAATGCACACAAACAAGGAAATCGAAAAGGATATTGATTATCACAAAACAGGGTCTAAGGAAACCCCTATGAGGTGTCTGTAAAAGACAATCGAAATACCGTAGGAAAATCGTCCCCGAACCCGATAATTAATCGCCCCTTCCTTCTAATTCTCAAACCTTACCGGTATTCTGCATGTTCTCCATTTTCAAATGCAGTTTAAATCGGTCCTCAAAACCAAACATCTGTTCCACATTTCGGAGTAAAGGTGTCCTGACAACCACACCACACCCCTTGATAGTTTCCCTGGCTAGTTCAATATCTCTCCACGAAACGAGCATTTCCATTGAAAATGGCCGATAGAAAATGAACCACAGATCTCCACCCTAACTCCATTGTCAACTATTAGAAATCTTGGATTAAGTTTGAAATTTTACTTATTCGAATATATCTTAACCAAAAAAAATTTTAAAAAAGGACACATTTGTCTGGTAAAAAGAGATATCTCTTTCTCTCTCTACCTTCTAAAGACGTCCTGAGAAAGAATCACCGCTAACACTGTTGCACAACCAAATTGGATGGGTGACCTGTGCAAAAACGTAGACTTGTGGGAGGAGAGGGAGGGGAAGCTTCCCGTTTCTTCTTTTGGTTTTTTCCTTCATTTTCCGTCAGGGATGGTAAATAAAATGTACCGAGGGTAGTTCTGTTTACTACCAATAGGATTCGAAAATATTTATGTTCATGCTGTCGAAGCGCATATTGCAAGTAATGGACTTATTTATAGGCACAAGTATGAAATAAGTTCGGGGATTCCCCTCCGCTCCAGAAAGGATTGTTGCGTGACCATTCCAAATGACAGTTGTGTGATTGAGCTCCAAGGTGTTGCTTTGCAGTGACCGCAAGTGGAGCAAAGACAAAATCATCATAGTAACACGTTCTAAGATAGTTATTCTGAACACTGGAGAAGTTTACGATCGAGGTTACACGAATAATATGTTTACGTGCCTTTGTTATACACAGCAGGACAATTTGTAATTTCAAAGGCGCAAGAAGCAAATTGAAGCATGTGGCGATCACGAGATCAAATTTACCTATCATCACGCGTGTCACTCGTCCATAACAAATCTAGTAACCAGCGAAGCACATTCCTTCAGTCACAAAACATTCAATTCGTATTTCCATGAATTCTACGAAGTACTTCAACGTAAAACATGGAACAAACAAGTTTAGCTCGCATTCACAATTCGCTGTACTGGCCCGATCTGACAACGTATGGTCCAAAAATGACACGAGAGATGTACCCTACGAAAGGGAATCGTCCCTTAGGTTGTTCAATTTCAGTGAAAGCGGTAAGTCTTTATACACTGACAACCGAATTGTTCAAGTATGTTTCTAATTTAAATACTTGTTTTCACCTCTCGTAAGTCTCCTATTGCTAATTATTTGAGCAGTCAATTATACACTTTTTATTTTGCAATTGCCACGAATCTGATTTCTGTGTGCCAGCTGTTTCCGAAAAAGATGTAATAACTCCGAATAACATCGTAACCCGAGACGGAGAGCTACTGTCATGAAACAACCTTTGCACCCGTTCCAGAATTTGGGGTTCACTTAAAAGCATCCATTTCGCCACTGTAAAGGTTAATTGATTGGCTTTTTTAAGGAACTTGTTGAATTCTCTGGTCTTGAGCGAGTCATTTCAGAGCGTTTCGATCCAAATACAGTTATCCC